GCTTAATTCGAGCCCTGATTTCACGAGATATCTCTGGCGGGAGTAGGTATGAACAAAGGCCAGCGTTATAATTCGAACAAGTGAACATTTCTGTACACATGGATACCAAGATGGAAGCTGTTGGATGTGTATTTGTGCTGTGAAGGTGTGAAATGAAGCGAGTGTCGAGCGAATTTTGCGACGTTTGTGCACAGCGCGGGCGTGCGGTGTACTTGCGTGTTGCAGATGAGCATTTGACTGGCATTTACAGGTGATTATAGGCGAAATAGAGTAGAGAAACATTAAGTCATTAAGACTGGTACATTTCGTGTTTATTTACCGTTAATTTTTTTTATTGAGCCGTTCCAAGTGCATGTGATTATCAATATGCCGGACCGTACCTCGCCTACTCCACTAACGAGTCTAGGGAGTCACCTACGCCTACTCTCTAACCCTAACCATATCACTATCAGATAGTTACCAGGGTGCGTTCTGATATATCGAATCGTACCCAGGGTACCGGTACCCTCCGATAGTACCATGGGGTACATAGACTCTATGGCTATGAGCGTTAGTAATATTATTACTAATAATAATTAGTGCATCACGTGATAAATCGTTGAAATTCCATTGGATAACGTCGCAGGTACTATGAAACAATAGTGCCCGCCTGAGCGGGCACTATTGCTTGCGCGACGCATTGTTATTCATGTTATTGCATTTATGCATTGTTATTTGCATTGTTCAAATTAAATTTCAAAATTCGAATTCAATTTCCCTTACCTGTAGCAGTTTTCCTGAGTCATCGACAGGTGGCGAGACCAGCGTTGTTATCAGTCAGACGACAACAACATGGAGCGCTCCAGATTTTTTTATTCACTTCATATTTGCCGAGTAGATTGCAAAGTCATGTGATGCACTAAAAACATTAATGCCTCTTGTTGGGGGCACTATGCTCTCATAGTGTTGCTTTGGGAAGGAATAGTGCCCCTTCCCTCAGCAACACTATGAGAGCATAGTGCCCCCAACAACAGGCATTAATATATAATTAATATTTAGTATAAGGCCGACCAAAAAATTACCTTTGGTTCGGGTCACCCGCCCGCACTTTACATTTCGGAGTGAAAAATGTGCGACTGCGGTCACTTTTAGAGGGTTTCAAGAAAAAATAAAATTCAAAGATACCGCCTAACGATCATACATATGATATTCAAATATCCGACTCTTGTCATTTTATTTACCTAAAGAGAGTTCCAAAATATTTTTCTTACAACGTGAAACAGTCGTATAGAGCCTGGGCCGGCTACTTCATAAACAGAGCCTGAAGGTCGTATATGGCGCGGCGGCCGGCTTTGATGTACGCGATCGATCGCGTACTATATAGTATACGCATGCTATCGTGCTATACGCGGCCGCAGAGCTGTTGCCGCACACGCTGTGGAACGCGCTGCGCCACGTGGACG